CTTGACTAGTGTAAGCACTACTTAGCAACAACTAAAACATCGGTGTGTTATCAACTTTGTTCTCATGCTAAATCCAAACCACAGCACTGTACCAGCTACTAGGAAGGAAATTAACTCTATCCCTGCCGAAACCAGGACAACCTGTTACCCCCCACTCCTAAAAAAGTCCATTTACTATGAGTAATGGGTCTAGAAATCTATTCCCTTCCATTGTAACCCATACCACAAGAACTGATTTCTCAGTCACTGACAAGAGGAAAGGAGTAGTGTAATGAAGTAAAAATCAGCCCTCATACATCTCACCCATGAGGACCCAGGGAACTAAAGGTCAATAAGCCTAATTTAGATATCCAGGAAGATAACGGAGCAAATTGTTTACCAGTCATTTTGTAATCAGTAGAGTATAAAATACCAGCGTGGATTCGTCACGAGCTGATCTTGCCAAACCAAACTTTCGTCAGTGAGCAATTCGGACAAGTGGATGTTGTTTTGGCTTTGGTAGCATGTTTGACAAAGCCACAAAAGACATTTGCAAACTAGGGAGATGCAGTTCAGATGAAAGTAATAAGACACAGCACATACATGCTGTTGAACACACATATCCGTGATGCTCCTGTGCAGGGGGCAGAGATGGAGGCCTCTGGCAATGTGGTAAGGTGTCTGCGCAGACGGACAGTACCCACATGCAGATCTAATTGCACAGTTCTCTCATGTGATGTCTATGACCTTCCCCAGCCACAAGTCGCAATCATAGTTGAAGACAGCTTTTGCCAATAAGGAAAACCTTCACTGAATGCTTTTTCTTGGTTAAAAGAAAATTCCCATTTGGAAATTCCCACATTCCCATTTGCCACAAGCACATTTAGGGCATTCTTTTGGACAAAAACAAGTCCTAAGTTCCCAGACTACTTCCAACAAACATTAAGAGCCAATGCTGTTCTAAGAAATATGCCAGAATTTTAATCCATTACAGTTTAGTATAAAATGAATAACTGGTACTTAGGAGAGGTAAGATCTGGAGAGGTAATAAAAAATGGATAGATCGATGGTGGTATAAACAACCCTTGGAGCAAGAAATGCAAGATGTCCTGTGCTGTGCTGCAGACACTAATCTGCTCCTGTTTGCTACAAGGAATTTTATGTTCTTTTTCTCTCCAAAGGGACATACCTTTGATGGGTGAAGTACAGAATGTTTTCCTCACCTATCCCAAATAGCATTTAATTTAGTGCTTACGGTACCTTCCTCATAAACATTGGCTTTGCTGCAGACCGGCATTGTATCAGGTCTCCTGTTCCCCTGACACATTCTCTCACTACAAAGCAAATTGGTAAAAAGTAGACCTCCACCAACACCTTTTTTTCATTTAAGCATATTTTGGAAGGAAGATGGCTATAAGCATCTTTATGTGGGGTCCAGCTACTGTTTTTTTCTTGGGCATGAGAAAGGTTTAGTGACTGTCCCTGGTACCAAATGGTCATGTTGCAACCAGGCAGTGCTGGTAAAAGACTTAAAAGCCATTATAACAGGTATTTCATAGTGTATTGCAAGGCAGCGTGCCTTGTCCCTGATAGTCCCCTGTGGTCACTGGGGTCCCCACATCAGATCATGCATTCCTCCTAGCACATCCTATTCCTGGCTCAGTTCACCGTGCAAGGTGAAACCCTTGAAACATTTCCTACCTTTACCAAGGATCCAGAGCAGACAAGGAGCTGTCATGGGAGGGCCCACGGAAAGGGGTCATTTCCCATTCCTCCTTCTCACCTACTTCTGATGGAGCTCCCTGCAGACAGCTGGCTGCTCTAGGGCAGTGACTGAATTATGTCCCATATCATGGGCCCCTGGTTCACTGTGGAAAAGTACACAGTTTAGAATAGAATAGAATAGAATAGAATAGAATAGAATAGAATAGAATAGAATAGAATAGAATAGAATAGAATAGAATAGAATAGAATAGAATAAATTCAGTCAGAAGGGACCTACAACGATCATCTAGTCCAACTGCCTGACCACAAATTAGTTTAGAACTAGTTCCTCTCTAAACTGCAACAATTCTCTCACTGGTGCAATGCTGTAACAAGAACAGCGAAACTTTATGACCTGCACAGTTCAGCTAAGGCAGTATCCTGTCTCTCGTCATTACAAAAATAATGTCCTTTAATGGCAGGTAGGAAAATCCTGTGGCAGGCAGAACTGAGTTTTCTCTTTCCCCAGGTTTGCTATCCGACAGTCGTGACATCCTTTTAGCGCTGAAACAGAAACTTTAGTGTTATTTTGAAAATGTATCATCATTAGTTACGAAACTTCTGGATATTCCTAGAACGTATGCAGCCTTCTCAAAGCTGTAAGATGGATGTATTTTACACCCTTCTCATGCTGTAGGCCTTGATTCACTTATTTCTCAGAATTTGAAGAAATGTTCTTAAAACCTGCAAAGCAAAAACATGCAGTACACTTTTAAATGTGTGCCTAGAGCCTTGACTGATTCGACACTTTAAAGTGTTACAACAATGTTTCAAGGGTGAGGATGGAAAAATGGTGAAGTCTTGTTACGTGCGGTGGGTTTGAAAAATCCCGCCTGAAACTGTGGGTTGCCTCTAACTTAGAGTCTCTCCTGGCTGCACGATGCAACAGCTCTTTCCCAAAATTCACGAAAAAGATATTGTACGTGCTTTAGAGTAACATTTGTTCTCGGTAGAAAGGGAGTTGAATGAAACAAAGTGTGCGTCCATCTGAACAAAATAACTGCAAGAAGGATCGCTAGTTTTTAAATAACACCCTCATCACAGAGCTAACTTTCCTTAAGCCAAGAATGCTTTGCATTCGTTGGCACGTGGCGGGACAGTGCTGTTTAACAATGCATCTGTGCATCCAACAGGCC